CTGCAATAAATAAAAATATCTTAATTTTTAAAAACTTAAACATAAATCAAGTATCTGACAACCATGGTATTTTGCCTGCTTACGGAATGAATTATGGCTTATTTCGAAAATGTTACATTTTTAGGACTTAAAGTGCAGGGCTCAGCATGTTCAAAAGAAATCTAACTTTTCTTGATGCCCTAGTCGAAATCTATAAAAAGCAATTTGTTACCTACGTTCTAGTTTTGACAGCTTCTACTTTTTTCAATGACATATGCTAAAATTGTAATAGAAATTTAAGGATTGAAATTTGGGTTTGTCGTTTCTCCATGAAATTTCCTTTTGTTTGATACCTCATTTTTCAAAATCTATTATCCTGGAGAGCTGAAAAAGAGATCTGTAATACATTACTATTTACAGTGTAAATTTTAGTTTTTAATTGCATAAATGAGCAATTATGGTAAACATTTTGGTTATCTCCAAATTCTGTGATTGTTTGCATACTTACAGTAAAACCTAATTTGTCCCTCATTTGGATTTTTTATTGGAAACAATCCATGAAGAAAAAAACATTTTAATAGCAGCGTAGTTAGTATTATGTACAGCTTTGGTCAACCACAAAACCAGATGTCGACTTTTAGTAGCTAGCTCCTCAAAAGTAAACAAATAAAACGTAAACTTGTACACTAAAAAGCAGAATTATAAATTAAATTATTTATAATACCAATCCACTATTTTTGTTAAAGCTTTTTGTTCTATTACTAATTAGTTTTTATTACCTTGAAAAACTAAATTTTCTTAAAGGTGTTGAGAAGAATATAAGGCAGAGTTCCTGGAAACGGGATTAGAAGAAGAGGAAGAAATGAGCAGTTGCTGGACCTGTTTAGGAAATCCAACATTGTGATATTGGTAAAAAGAGCCCGAAAAAGATGGAAAGGACATGTGGAGAGAATGTCCAATCAAAGAATGCCAAAGAAGATGCTCTATGGGAAACCAGATGGCAAGAGAAGTAGAGGATGCCCACAGATCAAATGGTTGATGGATGTGGAGAATGATCTGAGCTTGGTGTTCAAAGATAGTGGGAGAAAGCAGAAGATTGTGGAAATTAGTTGGCTGTATTAGAGGAGGTCTGGGTTCAGTGCTATATTAATAATAACAACTAGCAGGCCCTTGCGAAAAATTTGCACTGTATATTGTTCAGTGATCAAATGACAAATCAATAAGAAAGTAAAACAATGCAATGTATCATAAGATAGTAAAATCAGTTATTCTCGCTGAATATAATTTATAAAGGAAAAAAATTAAAATTTCATTAATGTTTTGGAACTATGTTTACATATTTTAATAATTCCATATTTTCTCTAATAATTGTCCAATATCGAAGATTTTTTTTCCTTTTGTAGGGAATTTAGTAATCTTCTATATAATCATGGACATAACCAAGGGAAAAGAGTGTAATATGTGAGTTATTCGCAAATAAAGTTTCTTTTCTTTCATAACGTTTTTGCCTGAATTTTCGGGATGATATTGGACTATTTTTCCTGCCTGAAGGAGAAGGAAATCTTCAAAATTGATGGCTCAATCTTGGGATTTGATAAACAATATAAACTCCTCCTCTCTTGATCATAGGGACCTCAAGTCGATGAAATGAGACGTGCATTCCATATCAGTACAATTAATGTAAGGTTGTATGGATACAAACCCTTTGCCTTGCATTATCTCGAAAATTGTACATTTTTGGGCTTAAGAATGCAGGATCCGATTGTTCTAAAGGACCTATCCTGGTCTTCGCTAACCCCCCATGAAATTCTGAATACAACTGTACCCCATTCATGGTATTTTAGCATGACAGGAGCTTATATTTGGTACAAAATCGATTTCAAGCCTTACTGTTATAATATATGTGGGGATTATCCTTAAAAGACAAAATCAATGTTATTACTTTAGATTCTTCCTCCCCTCACATCCAAGACGTTTTAAGTTGATGCCTTTAATTTACTTTGACCCAAATTCTGTGCGATTTCTATTGCTTTTTCTTTCATCAGAGGGTGCGTGTGCCCATTATTGAGGTCATCCTTTATTTAGAAAACTTTGATACTGTTAAATGACTGCAAATGGATAGAGATTATATATAGCTATTCTGCAGGAAGATATCAACTATAGATAAGGATCTGTTAACAGGAATTTCACTGTATACATTTGCACACAGATAGGTGGTGTCTTTGCTTATTTTGTCCAATAAACAATGAAATAGCAATAAAATATTAAAAAATAAAATGACTATACGATCAAAGTAAAAACAAAAACAAAAATACTATGAAGTATGTGGAAGATTTATATTAAAGAGATGGCTAAATAATTGATGTTTAATGGAGATTAAAGATGGCCACAAGAAATAAGCAAGGAATTCTAAATTTAGGTAGCATGGATGATAAAGTATTTTTGAAGGAAGTAGTGTTGTAAGAAGGGATGTGTAAGTTAGTAGGTTTAGGATCTTTTGTTTAAAGAGTAGACAAAAGAACATAATGTAAATATAATGATGATGTAAAGAGGCTTTTGGGTTCTAAAGGATTTGATAAATGAATGCTAAGGAAATATTGCTGTTGGGAATATGATAAAGCCAGTTAAGCTCGGCATATCAATAAGTAAACGTGGTACTCTGAAGATAAATCTAATGATACAATTCATTAATCTTTTGAGCCTTATCATCTACCTGTGAGTCAGTCCACAATCTACCAAATCACTTCCAATTGCACCTAATGATGTTATGACACCGTAAAACACATAATGCGGAATCACAGTGTGAACTAAAAGTGATTTTCATGTTCTTAATAGTGATCATATTGTTCGGTTAACATCTAATAACATTCAAAGGTAAAAGAGTGATTTCCATAACGTTTATATGCTGGTAACTCGTTATCATGTTAAATGATATTTTTAAATAGTGTGTTATTTTAGACCGTTTAGTTATTTCAACCACACTACTAGTCTTGGGTAATTTCCAACAAAGAGGATTGTGTGGAATATTAAGATTAGAAATTGATCTGAAGAGGATTAAGGAGAATTTTTGTATCTCAAAGAAGCTGTGAGTGTACTAGGCTTGGCAGTGGTTTTGATAGTTTAGGGAAGATGGGAATGGCTATACAATATAAAACAGGATCCTATGGAATTAACAGGAATTTAAAGTAAAAGATGAACTATGATTTTTTACAAGCTATTGTGAAAATAGAATTTTGAAGAAAGAAATTATAAATATTAAGAAAAACCCATTAAAGATGACTAAATGTTTGATCCGGTATAGTTTGATTATTTTAACTGGAATTTGATCTGGGCTGTAGTCACTGGTTTAGGATTTGAAAACAGATGAGATATTTATGAAATAGAAATTTTCAGGTTCAAAGGAAGTTTATGGAATACAGTGGAAGGGAGAGTGCAATGTAGGAAGATAATCAGCAATGTAAGAATTTAGTTTGTCAAGAGATGTGGGATGTTAAGTACAGGATTTGGAATGTTTACTACAATCTGTATTTAAAGGATTTTCATTGGCGATTATGAAACTATTGTCCCTTAGTACAGTGTAAGGAAGATGAGTAAAGATTTGTAGGAACTTAAAAGAAGTGGAGTAATCATCAGATGTTTGAGTGCATCTGAAATGTCTCATTACAACATCTCTTCTTCTCATCAACTCTGATTTATTGCTTAATCTATGGAACAGAAAGATGACTAAAAGTGCAAGTCTTAATAATCAAGATGGGTGATGATTTAGAAATTCAGTGAGATTAGAGGAATCTCTAATCTATGGAATCCATTTCATCATTGGAGGAAGGGAAATAGATAGGTTCTAGGAATTTGGAAGGTCAATCAAGAAAAGCATTTACATTTCAGTGGTTAGTGAGTAGAATATCATGCCAGAAAATTTGTTTGTGAATGATCTTTAGGAGTTAAAATGTTATAGAAAATCTTGTTTCGAAAGAAAAGAAACTGAATTCTGAAAGGAGCATACTAAGTTTTGGGAAGAATCCTTTATGAAAACCTCAAACCGCACACTTGAGAACTGGGTGATGTGGATGAGTTGGAAGGAAACATAATAAGGTCTAGAGAGTAGATGAGATCTACTAGGTATAAATTGTCTAGAGAGTCAAAGGATGGATTATAAAAGGGATTTGTAAAAAAGGAATTATTTAAATGTAGATGCAAAGCAAACCTAATGAGAGTAAAATATACTATGATTTAGTGCTATGGAAAGAAGTCTTGGCAGATTTTTACAAATAAATATTTCTGTATGATGAGGATCTTGAGAAGGATTTTTACTCTGGAATTGAATGAAAATATATCCACCCCTTTGATCATTCAATAATGATAAATGAGTGTATAATTATTAGGAATGGATGAACAAATTTTATGGATAAAACATTGATGTTTTAAACTCTTCTGATTCTTTGTCCTACCAAAGTATCACAAACTTTCTGTTATTATATATATAAATTGTTTTGTTTAAAAAAAACATGATCATTCTTTATTGTAGGCAACAATGAAAAATGAAAATTAGGTGATTATTCATCCTATTGAATTGTTATACAATGTTAATAAACTAATTTTGTATTGTATTTAGTTGATTTAGTTAATATCCCAAAAATCTTGTGAATCTGAGACGTGTTTTTTTTTTTTTTTTTTTCCTTTCTTTTTTTTATCAAGAAGTCATTTGATGTTGATGTTGAATGACCCTCCAGCTTTTAGAATCTGGAGATTTATTTTTATTGGAGAGGCTAACTAATACCAATAAAATTGATCCATATCTACTTTATGGTTAAGATTTGTCTTTTCAAGAACTGGAATAAGAAATTTTAAAGGTACTGTCAGTTGCTGCAGTATTTAATGAAGCTGTAAAAACATTTTAATTGTGACCTTAGGTACACTTTTTCCATCTTTTTCATCTCTATCCATTCAAATTGGTCGTTTATTATTTCGTTTATTTTTGGAATTATATTTATAGAATAACTCAGTGATGATTTTTTTTTTAGGTGGTTGGAATGCATCTACTGAATCTCAATCAGATGATGCTTTTACTCTACCTGGGGGATCACAAGAACAAGGTAAGACAAAATCCTGACTAGTTTGCTTGTATCTTAAGATTGAGATTTCAATTTTATTCTGATTTCAATCTTGGAAAACAAATGAATAAACATAATAATTTGAACCCTTGTTGTGTTAAAATTGAGATCTCAAATAATTGGTGTTATCAGTAAACATGTTACTTAAAATCCTTTCCACTCTCTTCCATGACTTTTTTATTTTTATATAATTTTTTTTTTTTTTTTTTGTATTTATTGAATTTAAGGTCAATTTAACATATATTTTTTTATTAAGAGTACATTAAAAAATACAAAAATTAAATAATTATTGTTTTAATTATATATTTTAGCTACATCTACATATATATTTTAGCTTATATTAACATTATTAGTATGTTACTAATAATGTTAATTACTATTAACATGTTCACTGATGGAAAATAATTACATTGTTTTATGTAATTTATATATTTTATTTAATTATTTTGTTTGTTATTGTCAAGTTTTTTTTTGTTTTTTTGGCAAGATCAGAATTAACAATAATAGTTAAAGACCTAATTGGGAGGAAGGGATTGGAAGGTTAAAAGCGATGTTTACTGAAAGAATAAGGCATGTTTGTACGTTTGAACTTTAGCGTCATATACAATCTTTAAATTATAGATAATTTTTTTATTTGTGATTCATAACTTTAAAATTATAATAATAGTTATTATTATAGCATATTGTATTATATGTCATAAAAAGAATCAATACTGCTTAATTTAACTTCATTTTTATACGGTTATATATAGTGCTAAATAATTATTACTCACATACAATACTATTCAAGACCCTAGTTATATTATTATATTTAGTTATGACTTTATTGAACCCATTTTTTAGACAAGATATACTATTTCCAGTTTATACCTGGAAAAAATAATTAGGAATCTTAATTGTCTGTACATATCTGCCTTGATACATGATAACAAAAAGGATGAAATTTGGTGAGTATGTAAGATAATGAGTGAATAAAGGTATTTATAAAAAAAGGTCTAAATTAATATGGGTATACATTTTTATACCAGATTTGTTATCAGATTTCCTTTATCTATTTTTTTTTTATAAACTAGTAGTTTCAATTAAAGTAAACAGATAACATTAATTTAGCAGGGGTTGAAACTTTTATGGTACTATGAAAGTATTCCATTTCAACAGTTTCTTTGAACATTTTTAGGAAAAAGTTTTTAAAATAAAAGTTCTGAGGAACTTTTTTATAGTAAAGTTCTAGGTTTAAGTTCAACTTTTATTTAATTAAGTCTGCTTTCAGACGAAATCAGTAGAACTTTTAAATAAAAGTTCTGTATCACCTTTACTTAAAAAGTTGCTTGGAAAAAAGTTATCATTTCATTTCAAGCCCTGAATTTTAGCCTTTTGTAATGCAAGACAGTTAAGCAAATAACAAAAGGAATCTGAATCTTATATCTTAATTGAGTAGATACTTGAAACAGATATTTAATATTCATTAAATAATAAAATAAAATTTAAAGAATTATTAGTTTAAATTTTTTATGAAGTAGGTATAGTGTAGAAGAATGGTGTTAGTTTGTGAAAACATGGTTCTGTATCTATTTTATCAAATTCCATCCGCTAATATTGTTGCTTATGTATGCACAAAGGTATTATCTTTGATACACTTATTTAAAAAAAAAAAAATTTGTTCGATTTTTTTTTCCGCCCTGGACTACTATCAGGCGACTTAGTTTTATATATACATGAAGTCTAAATCAATCAGTTTTATCAAATTATTCCCATTACTTTTGTTAACACATGTACTTACGATTTTTCATTATACATATATTTCACAATTCTGCGTGTTTGATTTGCCATGAAAGTGGAGAAAAGTTAGGTTAGGGAGTTACGGAAAAGACTCATTCCATTTGTCCCCCCCAAAAAAAAGTCCTTGACAGCGGGCTTGGTAATCAATACTTTACGGAGAGGGGCATTTTCATGAAGAAACCAAACAGCTCTGCTCAACTTTCCTCGCCTTTTCTCTTGATGAGGTCTCATAACCAGTGAAGTAGGGTTGGGTAATACTCGCCAGTCACTGTGTTATTCCTTTCTTCAAAATCAATTAGCATTATTCCTTTGCATCCCAAAAAAAGGGTGTTGACTGCATGACTTTTGCCTTCAGCAGAGGTGCTTCCCCTGGATTTTTTGATTTCATGGACTCTTTTTTGCTGAGTTACACACAATCCAAGCGATCTTCAATTTAAGCACAAATAAGGACCTCTCTATAACAGAATTTAATGACCAAATGGTATTCGATCTTGAATATCATAAAATTGTGAAGTTTTCTTCAAGGCTAGACACTGACTGACAGGACTGGAGGAAGTGCAGCTGATGAATATGAAGAGAACAGACTTGTACAGCTTGTAGGTCTCGACTTGTTTGAATAAGTGGAATTATATGCTGGAATAAGTATCCTCAGGCTAGACACTTATGGACTGTACTTCTTACATGTGGTTTATTATCTATTGAACAATTCAAATTAATGTAATTGTTATAAATATAATGGCTTTGAAATGTTCTTGGTGATAACTTATGGAATGGAAGATTACATGGAAAGCAGAATTTAGATGGTGGCAAAGTTTCTGATTTTTTCACGATTCTGTGAATTTCATTTATGGCAGGGGAAACTCAGAAAATCCGACTGACGGACTTTCGTGGCCACACTTCTGCTGCTGCTTAATGTTTTCGATTTTATTTTTTCTAAAGTCTTTAGCTTTCCCATGGTAGGTATTCCATCGGGTATTCCCAAGATGTAGTAGGTATTATGTTATTCATAACTTCATTGATAATATAATAACTGATCTTTTTTTTTCTTCAAATTTTAGTACTTGAGATATTATAAGTATGCCCTTTTTCATTTATTACTAAAACAAGTTTCCATCCAATTACTACAGCAATATTTATTTTCTTATAGAAAAATGTTCAGTATGAATAAAGAAATTAATTGGTATACATAACATGTACTGCAGCTAAGGGAGACAACAATATCCAGATGCGTTCACCGCAATGGGCAGGTCTGACATAAGTGTGGCTAGATCTGGTAGCTTTGACTTCCTCCTATTGTCCCTTCCAACAAACCCACTTCATTGCTTCAATTGCTTTTAATTCTGTTGGTGTGTATTGTACTTTTGGAAGAACAAACTGATGATTTGATGGGAGGAAAGTTTTTCCTATCTCTCCCTGAGGCATATAGACATGATAGGGATAGATTTTTCCAACTTCTCTCAGTGACAGTTGCTTTCAGTACGCTTTTATCTTTAAATAGTTATATATTTAGTTTTAAAATTGGCTGCCTATAAGTTGTTTTGTGAATGGTTAAAAAATATATGAATATAATTTTTTTTAAAGGAATATGTACCTGTACATTGGCCGGGAATGTTCGTTTGTGGAAAACTAATTAGGTTCCGATTCAAAATCTGGATAGTTTCGTAAAAAAATTATATTTATTTATTTTTTAACAAGTTTATTGAATAATAATAAAATCTGCTACATTGAACGACAACAAGTATTAGGGCTACAAGTGTTCATTTATACAATGTTTACTTACAAAAATGAAACAAATATAAATAATCAAAAAATAAATTTAAAAAATACAAAATAATAGAATTAAATAAAAGGCAACTGGTTCTATTCATCATTATTGGACAAAAAAAAAACTTTGATGACCCTAATAGCAATGAAGAATATCGAAATAAGCATTCATGACGATGGAATAGCCCCATGTGTTAATTAAACGACAGAGCCCTTATCAGTCACTAGCGGATCTACGGGGGAAGGGAGGGTCTTTAGGGCTGACGACTGCCTCCACCAAAAAATGGAAAAATAGCGTGTTTTGTCATTAGTCTATTTCTGTTTTTGTAAGTGACCTAAGCTAAATTCTTGAACAACCACAATATATTTTCTTTTTTCTCCTGAGAATTGTTTCTTGTAATAAATATCTTAAAAACCCAACCCTTCTAGATCCAACAACTCTCCACTGTTCCAGTATTGAAGCCTAGTGAAATGTTTTATTCAATTTTATTTATTTTTAAAGAAAAAAAAAAAAAAAAAACGGAGAATACGATTGCTATCCATGAAATTCTGAATCCAACAGTACTCCATTTGAGCATGACTGTAGCTTATATTTGGCTTAAAAGTGTAGGGTCCAGCATAGCAAGTATAAGTTGTGTGATGCTAAATGTTGTGTGATGAACAGCCCATAATTCTTCTTGCCTGGGCCAAATATTTAATTTGAAAACTGATGTTTTATTCTTGAAATTTTTACAGCTTCATATCAAATTCAGAAATTTGGTAAAGATATATAATTTGCTTTAACCAGGGTGCGCATGGATTATAAAAATGCCAAGAAGTTTAAGTTGTTTTTTTTAATAGTGTTTCATAATATGAAACACTATCTTAAAAAAAAATATATTAATATAATAGGCAATACTAAGGAGGATGCGTCATTTGGAATATTTTAATGGCTTAAACCAAGATGCAGAACCAAACCAAACTACGTCATTCGTTATAAGGACTTTTGGGTTTTAGTTGTAAAATTATTTCGCTTCATAACAAATGTTGAAACACCACGAAAGGACACCCGAATAGCAGTATAGATTTGAACTGAGATAGTTGACAATTTTAGTTTTTAATATAATAAATAACACCACAAATTTAAGAAATTAAATTATTTCCTGTTTGGAATTTATTCAATTTTTTTTTTTAATGATCACAATGAAATTTAGTGTAGTATTCAATAATAATTGATAGAAATGATCTTTAATAAGATTGTATGGACGCTAACTGTTCAGTTCTGTTGCACTTACATTGGTAATGGGAAAGTCTTCTATTTATTTGCATGTTGCCTGGGGATATGGTGAACTCTTGTTATTTGTACACTATACACTTTTTGTCTTCTTGATCGAAAAGGCTTAGCTTATCGCATTTGTGAATAATTTTTTTCTAAAATGAAATATATGAAGAGAATAATTCCAGTTAGTCAAGAGATGAAAGGTAAGTAGGGTTTATGTTCGTTTTAAGTTTAGGGATTAGAATATATTTCATGTAGCGTTATCTTACGGTATATTCATTAATTTATGAGTATATGTGTGTGTGGGTGAGTGTGCGTGTGTCATTTTATAATTTCTTGTGTCTATAAGACAAAGAATGAGAACAGTACCATAAATTGAAACTACCCATTTTATCAGTTATGGTCAATGGTAAGTACTTAATTAGATACATTGTCTTATGCGTAAGTTATTTTTTATTTTATAATATATATCATCAGACCTGGGCAATATTCGAATAAACATTTATTTAATAACTAACATTTTTGTCAGTCACAATACAAATTATGCAATATGTGTTACTTATATTATTAATTTCGTATTTTAATTGTTTAACTTTAATTTGGACAATGATATATTCGTATAGTATTAATATTATTTATCATTATTACTCAGTACTTATTTAACTGTTTTTTATTAGTATAATAAAAATTTATTACTCAGAAAATGTTTATAAACACTTAAATCACAAAAAGTGTTAAATATTCATTGGTGTGTATATATATATGTTTTTAAACATGATTAAAAATCACTCACACAATTAATAGATATGTTGTGAGCATAGAAATTGCATCAATAAAAAAAAAAATTATTTTTCCAAGTATGAACACTCATCAGCACATGTTTTTGACAAATGAAATAAAAAAAATAATTTATTGAAAAACAAAGAACCTTAAGAAAAATCTCGTGAAAATCTGTGAAGTATAATTTTTAAAAACATGAAATTATTTATATTTTTTTGTAATATATGAAATAATTTTTTGTACAAAAATAATATGAAGTCTATTAAACCAGTACCACTGCAATCCATGAAGGGTATTGGGTTCAGCACTATTGAGGGAAAGTACTGTTTCTGAGTCAATGCTTGTGCAACTAGGTGATTTGATGACATATATTAAGTATGTGAAAATATCATATCTTTCATTTACATCATTCCTGTTTAGGTACTATGTGGAATATCCTTTAGTCTAGTCTATCTCTGAAGTTTGTAACGATTCAATCAAATATTTCATTAATTCATCGCTGACTTCCTAATTCCATACATTTTTAATTGTTCCCTTTGGTTTTTCTTTATTTTTAGATTTCTCTGCATCGATTCTGTATATCATGATCATCCACAAGTTCTGTATGAGGTTTTAATCAGGGCTTCCTGGTCATGATAATGTTGAGATCCTATTCAATGATCAAAACTTAATTACCTGTACAAAAAAACATTCATGAAAAGAAAAAAAATATGCAAGAGTTTCAAATAGAAAGGTAGTTTTATTCAATTAATATCAGTACTTACAGATTTGGTTCTGTGGCATTGAGCAGTGTCATCTTGAAAAGTAAATTCTTGCAACAGGTAGTTTCTCTTTGAGGAAATCAAACTTTCTTCTAAAATTTTTGTATATATTTTTTCAGTATTAACAGGTCAATCTGAAATATATTTGGCCATTTCCACAAAAGGAAAGTCTTGCAGCAGGTAGTTTCTCACCGAGGGAATCAAACTTGTAAAATTTTTACATATTTTATAAGCATTAACATTACTATCGTTTAATCTGTCAGTACAATCTGAACTCTTATTTGGCCATTTCCAAAATAGGCAAAACAACCCCAGAACACAATACTTGCCGGACGCTTCACTGTTTTAAATGTACAGTTTTCATTAAATCTTTCATGCGCATGATGTTTTAGAAACGGTTGTTTGTATTGTTTTCATCCTTAAACCGTTTCCTCTTAGTCCTCAAGTGACAGTTTCTTGACTTACATTTGGAGATTTCTATCTAATTGATATCTGGATGTTTCCTTGGCAGTTTTGAAATGACCTAAAGATAATCGCACCATTAAATGGTCTATTCGTTCATTTATTTTATTTTTTTTTCCTCTCAATACCTTTCTTTCGCTCCATGGTGCCTTGAAAAAGATTTATTTTCAGAACTTTGACTACAGTTGCTTGTTAGCACTCTGTTCTCTTCGCTGTTTCTCCTAAAGATTCCCCACTTCATGTAACCTCACTATTTTATTTTTGTGATGACAGTTACTTGCAATTTGATACTACAAGTTTTATCCGGGCAGTTGTAAAAACTGAATTAAGAAACATTTTAAAGAGCAGCAAGCAACAGTTAAGCTACTACCAAAGTATGAGTTTGCTTGTAATCTTAATAAAAATAAAAATTATATAATGGGATCAGCGTTATTAACATAACGATTTAAAGAAATAAGTGATGATGCAATTTAAATGATCACAACTGTATGTATCATTTAGTAATGAGTAGATATATTTTTTTAAATTGAAAAATAATAACATTTGAGATTTGATAAAATTTGAAATTAAATTCGCCCAGGTCTGATTTATATATCCACATTTTTTATGTTTTTAACTCATCATTTTTTAACTGTTTATTTTTTGTTAGTATTATATTTTTCCTATAATATTATACTTATGTTTTTATTGTTTACTTTTCAAATTGGGTTAGCAATATTAAAGAATTTCTAACAGTACAGTAGACTCTTCTTATTCGGACTATCGGATCATTGGGTAAAATCTTCAATTTTCTAAATGCTCTATAATTGTAAAGAGTTCGCTTGTTGGTTAAAGCAGATCTTCACAATCAATTGCCAAGTAATTTAGCTTTGGAGCTTAAATGCAGATAGAAAGAAAATTCAAGAATTTTTTGTATCATACACAAAATTATGTAATTTGTTGAGTAATTTATAAATGATTGTGGTTAATAATTAGGTAGTCCCATCATAATAATTAAAAGTGAATAGAATAAAGAAAATATGAATGAATAACCTGTTGTCACGGCTTCTTTTAATTAATGAAAAGACTCTTAGCTAAGACAAGACTATATTTATCATTCATTGCAGTATTTGTTAGTGGAGTTTGGTTAAGTAAGGACATATAAATTGAATCTTTATATTATTTCCAATATTTTTCGTAAACATTGTTAGATCGGCATGGCTACTTCACACTGCTGCTGGTATAGGTTTATTAGATATTGATGGGGTCATTGACGCACCCAAATATTTAGAAAAAACAAACTAATATTGTAAACTAGTTCTGTTTTAAATAATTATACAATATGTATATTCTTTCTTAAATTTATGAAAAGCTTCTGTACTTTGGTTTATTCACATTAATCCGAATATGAGAGATTTTACTGTACTATAATTTATTTGTTTACAATCTGGTGATAAACAGTATGCATGCGCATGATGGAGGGATCAGCAATGGTTGCTGACACAGCTTTTTCATTTTTCAAAAAAAAAAAAAAAAAAAGGCTTTCACAAGCTTTGTTACACTATGCCATGCCGGAGTGATGTTTTAGTATGAGTTCTGAAATGTACATCTATGTAAATAATAAATTTTATGATTTGTGAAAGTGTTGTCTGAATTGTACTAATAACGGATTTATTTGTCTCATTGTTTAATAAACCAATAGCTTCTATGTCTGTATTATGTGAGGGGTTTATAAAAATTAGTAGTTTGCTCAGAGTTTCTTGTCAACATAAGCTTATATTCATATTTTATACATGAGCCAGTTTATTACTTAAACATAAATAGTTTTTTGTCCCGAGCTAATTTACAATAATTATGATTTTATTTAGTTTTATGTAGTTTCTCATTCATTTAACCAATTGATGAATCAATAAGCATTTAAAAGTAAAGTAAAAATAATTAATCATTAATCAATTATAACAAAAATTGTCAAAGACTTTACTTATAACATTTTACCCTAATATTATTCTGATAAAGTCATTTTATCTCTCAGTAGTATTTTATTTAGTTTTTGTTATGGAATTCCAAAATTATTTCACATTTTTCTTTTTTTTTTTTTTCAAATTAATTAGACTATTGTTCATAGTTCTATATTTTTTTATTGGTTAGTGATAAATTTATTATTAATAATTTTAACTTGAATTTTAATATTATAGATGTACGATTTATTGATTTGGGACCAAATTTCACTAGATTCAGATCGTAAAGGAGGAACCTTTTTATCATTTAAGAGTAGGCAGTGATGATAAAGTTTGCAATTATTTTTTATATTTTACTGTTTCTAGGTTAATTTTTGTGGCACCTATGCATAATATTGTAAGTGTGAAAATTATTTTTTCGAGACAAAGCAATTAAAAGTTTGGAATTTCACAGATGCATGTTAAATTTTCAAGTTTCAATCCATGATTCATCTCGATAATAGCCGCATAACTTAGCCCATTAGACACAGAAGGAGAGAATAATTAGCTTTTATGGTGATACAAAACAAATTCACAAAATTGCACTTAACAGACTATGCAGAGGCCACAGATTTATAAGTGAATACTTATATTCAACTCAATTCTATTAATTTTCAAATATTCATAACCTAAATAATTAAATATTCTCAAGATTATTTTCTTTTATTTTGGTGTCGTAAATATTTCAGTTTCTAATTTTTTATATAAGCCAACATCACACCAATGTTTTCACTTCCCAATCTTACTAAGACGTTTCGCCTCGTCGAGCCATTTTCAAGTCTATCATTTACTTGCCCATCATATTTCTTATATAAAATACATGCATCTTCTCATAATAGCCAGCATCATACGCGTCATATCTATTTTTAACATACTAGTGTCACATGTTATCAGTTTCATTGTTACTTACTTACTATTTCTACTTTACTTACTTATTTGTTGGAGATTGTCGTACGCTGGATTTATGTACTTTTACTGCTAGATTTATGTGCTTGTCACACTGAGCAGAAAATATGCCCTGATGATTATTGAATTCTATTGTATCCTTACTTGTAAATAGGCATTATTATACCATATTAGATATTATTTATTATAGTTGTTAAAGGAATTCAAGGATTGAAATTAGGATTTGTCACTTCCACATATTTCCTTTTGTTTGATATGATATTCAACTAAATCCTTCACCCCTGGGAGCCCAAAAAGGAATATATATTATTTTATTATACTTATTGTAGATTTTTATTTTGATATATTTTAAATATATCAAATGGCTATATTTACATTATATTTATCAAATGGCTATATTTACATTATATTTATAAGGGCTATATTTACAGCCCTACTCCAAATCACAATTTTAATTATTACGCAAGAAAAATAATTAAGTATAAAAAAAAATAGAAATAACAAGTTAAAAAAATTAATGGAAATTAGATAATAGTAACAACAATAATATGTGTCATTTGGGCCTGACGTAACGAATAATCAGCAATTGGCAAACATCACAAAAATACTTGTTAAAATGCTTAGAGATATATCCCAATGATTAGATGGCATACCTTTATTTCACAAAGCCAGAACACTTTTGAGCACCATTCTCAAAAAGAATTTATCAACTGTCAGGTTCTTGAACTCTAATATCAGGCTTTCTTCTTGGTATTAGAGAATATTGTCCGAAGAGATAGAGTTACCAAATGATCTAAAATAATTTATCATTCCACTAGTTTTATTTTTTAAATATTTTGTACGTTGATTATTCAGTGTTTCTAGAGATAGCTTGAGGGAAGGATTTTGTTTGTTTTCCCGTTAATATATAGTTATTTTTGTATAGTTCTACGGGCAGATTTAAGTGAATTTAAGCATTTTTTGTTTTGTACTTTATAAAATTAAAGCTAATCAAACAAAAACAAGATTGATTATGTTCGTTGTTTCGTTATGTTGCATAGTTTCTGGGATATACGTCGTTATAATTCGCCTATTTCGAAAAAGAAAAAAAAAAGTCTTGCTAATTTGACTAGCTTACTCTTTATTTTTCACTCTACGAAGAACTAGGAAGTAGGGTGTTAATCATTTCTTCAGAAAAACATATATTACGTTACTGTTTTATCTTTTACCCCAAAAAAGTTAGAGAAATCATAAATGTGAAAATTCCAAGATTTTGCAGAAAAATCTAAACATATATATTTACACACAAAGAAGTCTTAAAAAAACTTGTATGTCTAATATAAGATACAACAAATTTATATTCAAAATTTAGAGCCTCTAACGTGATGCAGGTCATCTCTACATTGGCAGTTTCCAGTTCCTCTGCACCTAGGAGATAAAAGGCCTTGCGAAACTTAGTAGTCCGGGAATTGTTGGCAATCGGGGTTGGACGTATGAAAGAAATGTCATACGCTTTTAGGGATGCCGACCACAGTTGGTTCCATTATTCAATGGTATGCTCCCAGATTATCTGTTTCCATGAAATGGGAAAATTTGCAATCGTTCGGAAAATGTCCGGAAGCTTTGCTGAGGTTTCTAGATTCGCAGCTCGGTTGTCTTCTAAAGATAGTTGAGAGGCATCCCTTTTAAGAACTGCACTACCTCTTGTGATACAGACTTGTATGCCTTCGTTACCCAAAGCAAACCTGTTCTGGGTATCATCGTCCACCTTTTCTTCTATTGTTATGAGAGCTTACGATACCTGGCAGGGACACATTCCTCAGAATATCGTGCATTACTCTTTTATCAATTGTCATCGTTGTTAAGTATCTCGAGACCCCAGAGAGAGACCCCAGACATTAAAATTTCAACTAATGTTTTCTGTAAGGTTGTCTCCTTATCTGGATAAATATTCTCACTTTACATTTCTGAGGCCGACTCCCCTTAGTTTTTCATCTAACGTTACCTTGTCACTATGTGGAGGGAGGGAGTACTGTAAAGCTTATTCCATGAGGCCGGCTCTGCCGAAGGAGGCTATAACGGACACATTATCCACTTCAGCTGAGAACAGCTCTTCTTCTATAAAAGCCAAAAATTCATCGAAGACCAGTGCCATTAGAGCCAGAGCTAGGATTGATGATGCTAGAAAGCAGTCTTTCTCTATTCGACCTCTTGGGAACAACCTCGAATCTTAACCCTCCTGTTCTAGAGGTTACTTTCTCACGAGACAATACAAGTTGCCCCTGATTTCGTATTTCTTTAGCTGCTGAAGCCCAAGCGGTTACCGGACGTTGGTAATTTAGATTTTTTTTTTCATATCATTTAAATTAGAACAGGGTGGCAACCAACCTGGAAAAATGGAAAAAGTCAGAGAATTTCCAAAACAGGGCAGTCTGGGATTTTTTTTAGTACGTAATTATCTTTTTCAAATTGGAAATAAATATACTGTGGATACCGTTTATTAACAACCTTGAAAGTGTAAACTTCGTCGTTATAAACGACCACAGTCGCTATATCCATCCGCCTTTGACTTTCAGTAACAGCACTCGTTGCTGTATTGAAATAAAACTAGTAGCCCAGTAAGCTTGTCATACAAAGGGGAGTCTAAGTTCCATCGAATATCGTTTCTTTTTTTCTTGTATGGGATGTGACTGAGATTTTTTTTTTTTTGTTCTTCCCTACCTCGCCTTTTAGGCTATACGGGATTTTCCTGGGCCGAAGGGTGAGGGCGGGGAATTTAGAATCCCCTCCGGCACCGGGATGCGAACTCATACTTTTTTAATCTTCTCAAATCTCTTATCCGGTTGCCAGACAACTCGCGGTGCAGTGCACACGCTTTAGCCCATTCGGCCACCCCGCCCCCTGGATGTGACTGAGATGCTAAATCCAAGTTTTCGACCTCGGCGCCCCCCTAGCTCACTTTTTAAAACTGGAATGGCTATAAATAATAAGAGCTATTATTAATTGATAAAATAAGTGAGCTATAATGACTTGGGTCATTTATTGCGTTCAATCTTTTTCGTAGACGCCGCCGCCGAATAATTGCATTTTCTGAAGAATTGTTTCAACTTTGTTAACAATTAATCCGTGGTTTAGAAAGATTAATGTATTTTCTAGATCTTTTATTTCTAGGCGTTTTTCGTTATTGTTGACTGTTTAATTACAAATGACGCTTGATTTTCAACTTCAGTTTGAACGATTTGAAAAAATTGACTTTACTGTTATTTTTTATGCCGCAAAAGGACGATTATTAAAAAAAAAAAATTCATGCTTTATTATATATACTCTGGCTATCCAACTTTAATAAAAGACGAATTATGTCGAAATTAAGCCAACTGCCTGAATCTCAGTGAGCGAAAACTAACTCAAGTTAAAGTCGTCACTCAGCCATGTTTGGACGCCATTTTGGGACAGTGCGGCCCTCTTTTTATTTCGGAACATTGCTTTTTTAATTTAATATGTAGTGCAAGGAACACAGCAATATGCAATTTATAGTAATGTGGAGAGATAGTGCACGGAAGTGGGGGAGGGAGGGAGGATGTGGCCCGAGGACTACTCTTCCACCAAATATTTCTCTCTCTCCATCACCAACTTTCCAAATATTAAATATTAGTTATTAAAATGAATAAATATTTACTTCGCTGACTCATAGCAGACAGGTTATGGAAGATAACACAGAATTGCATATGATTAAACATGTAAAATAAAGTTTGAAAATTTTAATCTCGTAAACTATTCGATTTACTGAGCCTGTTCTAGTGTTACATTGTAGCATAGTTAGTCCATATTGAAAATGTATAGAATGTTTTTTGTCGAAAACGTGCTCATTCATGGAGAAAATGGAGAAAAGTGTGCGAAAATATAGTAGTTTTGGGGTCGTTCAAAAGTGATCCTGGGAGGGGCCGAGGTAGAGAACTTGGATTTTACAAAAAATAAATAAAAAGAATCTTCTACCATCATTCAATACAAGTTACGATGTACAAGGTTACTGGGCTAAATGATGATGAATAAAATTTAAGCCAAATAGACTTAAAACATTGCTTTTTTGAAAAGAAAAACATACCAATGCCATCTACTATTTGTAATATGTACATCTATAGACATATTTATTGTTTTTTTATTAAGTAATGAACTTCTTAACGCCACTTGTGTTTATAGATAAACGTCCATTAGAACATTTTTCGATCTTGAACATCAACTTCTTAAAAAATTGCGTTGCATGCATCAACGTCTTGATAATTCTCACTAACTGTCGGCTAAACTTAATTCCATTCGTTGGTAAACTGAAAGCGAACGCTGGCAGCTTCACAACTAATTTTTGTTATAAATAGTGTTGTGATGGGAGCAGAATCTTTGTATTAATCCTGTCAAAATATTAGTTTGAGGTTCATCAAATGAATCGCGAATTGATTTTGAATATTCGTTAATCTTTTCGAGTAAAATCTGTCTTAATCTGGCGAATCGTCGATTTTCAGATTTGAAATATTCTCCACATTCAGCGGGCTGTCTTGAATAGATTCAAAATTTTGTCCAAATTGTTAAAAGGCTCAGCTTTAATTCTTGGACCCGGCGACTATTGGACTTATCCTTCTCCAGTCGGTAGGATACACAGGGTTAAATGGCCAAACTGCAAAAATGAACTGAAGGCCTCATAACAAGAAAAAAAAATCCTCTCAAGATATGTCCGCAAACGCTTTGTTTATGAGATATTCACACCTAAAGATTTTCGTTATGAATTTTTTACGTTATTTGAAATACATAAAACCTATTTATTTGTTATAACATCTTTATTAATTAAATGTAAATATTAACATTCATATTAAATGTTGTTTAAAGTGAAGTATGTCCGCAAACGATTTGTTCAGGAGACGGATTCGATAGAATACTAATATGGTATTTTATCTCCAACTGTATAAAAACAATAGGGCGCATAACGATTAATACTATTTGGAATTAGCATTGGGAACTCTCAATAATATTTATCAGTTTGTAAGAGGCTTTTGCAGAGTACTCATCATTATGCATTCCATTTATAATAATGGTGAATATGTCGATATGGTGTTAGTATACGGTTGTTGCAATGTTAATGTCGCGAATACGCCAGGCGATTTCCGCATAGAATGTTACCAAACAAGTCTATCTTTAGCTCCACGTTTTAACGTCTTTGAGAAACTGGTAAATAAATAAATAATATAATAATAAAAGGCTTAGCGAACCCGAAGGTTCGATGCCGACACCATCAATCGCTTATTACACACCTCCCTCCACCGTTCGCCAAACCCAGTCCCTTCAGATCGGCTTTAATGCAATCTTCCCACCTTCGCTTTGAGAAACTGGTATATTTACTATATCACGTGCTGATGGTATTTTTGCCCCTTTACAAAAGAAAGAAAGAAGTGCGACCATATTACAATATTTCGATGATAATCCATCTGGCGGAGTACGAAAAGCTGGAGCAGAATTAAATATTACACCAACTACAGTATGAGAACTCCCATTGCAGATGGATTTTATTTATATCATTATCAATGGGTACAAAATTTATTACCGCAAGATTTTCGGCAATGAAGAATTTTTTTCAGATTGGTACTTAAATCAAGTTGAGCATAAGCTACAATTTTCAGGAAAAATTTTCTGGACTCATGAAGCTACCTTTACAAGAAGAAGTGTCTTCAATCAGAAAAATAATCGTCTCGCATCAGGTCGCAGGAAAATCCCCATGCAATTCGTGAGCATCATTTGCAGCACCAGTTTCAATTCAATGGATGGTTGGGGTTAATAGATAATATTTTATTAGATCCACATTTCTTGCCGCCTCGACTCAACGCTGGCACATTTCTGGAATATCTTGATAATGATTACTATGGTTAAGTTGATCATATTGCACTATAACTTTTTTTTTTCGTGTTCTTCCCTACCTCACCTTTTAGGCTATACGGGATTTTCCCGGACCGGAGGGTGAGGGCGGTTAGTTTAAAATCCTCTCCGTCACCGAGTCTTGTACTGGTACTTTTTTTTTAATCTCATAACTTCGGTTATCTGGTTGCCAGGCAACTCGCAGTGCTGTTCACACGCGTTAGCCCATTCGGCCACCTCGCCCCCTCCCTATTCCACTACAACTGAGAAGGTACATGTACTTTAATTAGATGGTTGTCCTGTACATTACAGAAAAATTTTACGATAATGGTTAAATGTTTATTATCCCAATCAACACATTGGCCGTGCAGGACCAATGGCTTGGCATGCACGTTCTCCAGACCTAACACCACTGGATTTTTTTGTTTGGCTTGACATTAAACAAAAAGTCTATGCAAGTCCGGTCAATGACCTTAATTAACCTTAAGAATCTTGTGAAACAATAACACATATTCAGTGCCGTTCTGCCACTGCTGCTGTTCAAGAAAGATGGCCAGTCTGTCTTAATGCTCAATAAAATCACTTTGAACAACATTTAATGTTTACGTTTAATTAATAAAGTAGTTGGAATAATCAAATAAGTTTTATTTACTTAATATGACGTAAATAATTGATAACAATGAAAAGTTGTGGATATCTCCTAAACAAAGCGTATGCGGACATACCTTGATAGGAATTTCTTTTCTTGTCTTTGAGGTCCTTAGTTCATATTTTCAGTTTGGTCACTTAATCCTGAAATACCCTGTATATAGAATTTTTCTTCAAAGGAAAAACTTCATGCTCTTCCATATTCTTATTACAGTACTAAACAGAAATATAAATTTTACGCTAAGAGTGGGGAGTGACAGTTAATGTTGGCAAATGATGTGTACCTATACATTATTTAAATTTTATTTGTCATTATATATTTAGTTAGCTCATGTAACTACGGTCGGTGCAATTCGTTGGCTGACAAGCATTCATTCGTTCGACAAGTGGTCTTGAAAAAAACATTTTTAAATCAGAAAAGTCATAGTTAGTGTCCTGAAGATAATTATTAGCATATTGGCCCCTGACATATGACATAGTATTCCCTGGCGTATTGGTCAGGGAAAACTATCATTAAATAGGGAAAAGTCAGGTAATTTTATTTTAACTGTCTGGTATCCACACTGAAAAAAAAAATCAGGAAATACGACTGACTAAATTGTAGTCGCTCAGAATTTTTGTTTTCAACACCACTTAATTTTACAATATTTATAATATATTGTTAATATTTAAAAAAAAATAAAGAACATAA